CCTCGAACGTTTGAACGTTCTTGTAAAGGGCTAATGCAGCTGCAGTCACGCACGGAACGCCGTCACTCTGTCGGATCGGCTTCGCCTTGCGCTTTGGGCCACATTTCCTTTTGAAGACCCCCAGGCTCGTTAGGGCTTTCCTGGACCTTTCAGGATTTGGGTTTCTTAGGCTGGCGTGTGGCACCGCTGTCAAGTCAGTACGCATATCCACAAGTGTGTCTCTCCCAGTGAGAGTCCGGGATGAGCCCGTAGAGTGCCTCCCGTGGACCCGTCGAACGGGTGTCTGTCGTTGTTTCCCTTGCTTTGGAAACGCACGTGCCCACAGCGGGTGAAGGTGGCCTAGGCCGAGAGAACTCAGATTTTTTGTCTCAATTTTGGAATTCCAAGGTGGCTTACGCCTTTACGTGACCGCAGCGGTCCAAGCTGGCTTAACGCCTCAACGTGGTCAGAGCGACCGAAGTACTCTTGAGGTTCGTTGGAACCTATCGGACTCTTAGGTGCACACACATCGTACACACCTTAACGTGGCAGGTCTTCCTAGGTGGTTGCAATGAGGTCTGGGCTCATCGGCTCCCGTCCCCCCATTTGGTTCCCTTTTCATCCTTTCCCCCTCACACATTTCTTTTCCTCTTAACTTTCTTTTCATGTCTTCCCTTGCTTCATGTCCTTTCATCTCACTCCTTTCGTTCTTTTGCGCGTACAACGGTCCGGGCCTTAGTGTGTACGCGCACATCTACTTCCAACTCAGGTTTCAGGTCGCCCGGGTTTCGGCAACGAGGTTTCATCGGTTGTCCCTGTGCATTTGGTTTCTCTTTCATCGCAACCACACATACTTTTGTCCCGTCTCGTCTTCCTTCTCATGTCTTCATCCTTTTGTCCTTGCTGCGCGCACAATCGCACATTCGTCCTAGCCTTAATTTTGCCTCCCCTCGGGGAAGCGTGTGTGTGTGTGCCCCTTGTAATCACAGGGATTCCGTTGAATTGTTTCTTCCTTTTTCAGCAGGGGGACCATCCATGTGCTGTGAGCGATGGTCCAACGAAGCGGCCACAGTACATGCGGATATCACGGCTGATCACCGTGACGTACCTGCTATCCTCGAACGTTTGAACGTTCTTGTAAAGGGCTAATGCAGCTGCAGTCACGCACGGAACGCCGTCACTCTGTCGGATCGGCTTCGCCTTGCGCTTTGGGCCACATTTCCTTTTGAAGACCCCCAGGCTCGTTAGGGCTTTCCTGGACCTTTCAGGATTTCGGTTTCTTAGGCTGGCGTGTGGCACCGCTGTCAAGTCAGTACGCATTTCCATAAATGTGTGTGTTGGTACATGTGTGAACTTACCAACCTGCTTATCAATTTGACAAACCTTCCCGCCATGTTTTTAACTTGAACACTTTGTTGTGCTATATTATTCTGAGAAGTGATCGCTGGCGATGATTTGTTTCTCGCAAGATGGAACAGCAGGAACAAAGCTGTAGGACGTGGCAAGAAGGGCACGGTATTCTATACTGTACACGAGTGAATATGCCATACATATTGCGAGAGTAAGGTTTGTGAATGCACCCTGTAAAATATGGTAACCTTTCGGTCAGTCATGGGACCGCCCCCATGACCAAATGGACTTCAGGGGAAAAGTAGCACGGTTTGGATGATTACGGTCACGAAAAAAATAACTCATCATAAGCTCCTCAACAAAGTGTGAGCCTCTACTAACAATGAATTGAATGAACAATCAGGGCTGAGCAGATTGTTTCTGTCCGAGTCACGGCATTGTCCCTTGCGAGAGCTGGAGTCCACTTGGTGGTCAGCCCAAAGCGTGGCTTTACTTTCTGGCTTTGTTGGTGTTGGCGCTTGAACCTTGTCATGCGCGCAGAGAACCACATCCACATCAGCAATCACATCCTCAACCTAACGCATGCACAAGACGTGCAGCTAAAATGCAGCCGCATGGCAGCTTGATCCGCAAACAATACATGTGGCGTCAGTCTGGTTGTCGTGCTTGGAAGGCTTTCCCTGGTTTCATGCCAATCAGATGCATTCTACTTACACTGTAGAATTCATACAAATATCGCTTTGGCAGTCGGTTTGGCAGTTGCCTTTGCAATAGTTACTTGATGCGCTTGCTTTGAAACTGATGCCCTGAGTGGACTATTGTCGGTGTGGCAGCTGGTGCTGTTTTGATGTTTTCGACAGTTGGCCATGGAGCTGACTGATGCAGACAGTGGATAGAACCTGGTTTTCCTTCAGACCGACTCGAACTAGCTGCAGCCGTATGCCCTCGATTTGGACGCACTCTTCATCATTCTGTCTAGAACCCAGCTCCAAAAACTCACTAGGCCTCATGTATTGTCTCGGAATGAGTATTCCAATGTGGGATGTCCCAAGTCCTCAAGAGACATGTAAACCTAGCATGGTTGGGTGGACATGAGCAGGCCGGGTGTTGTTCCGAGCTCATGTAGTGACTGAATCACGAAGCTGGCCAGCAAGAACACAACTTTCCTTTGGGCAAACCTTCCACTGTAGGCACACAGGTGTCTCTATGTTGCTCGACTCTAATGAATGGCCACATGAACCGAACTTCCTTGAGAGCAGTGGATCAGGTTCTTACATAAATAATAGATGTTCTTAGAACATGCCAGTGCTTGTATTCAACTGCATGTCTACATGTTTTCTGGATGAGCTCCACTGCATGTGGCCAACAGTAGCCTACTCCCCAGGTGGCACTGGGGCCACGGCTGGAGCTACAGCTGGGGCAGCCACGGTTGGACTAATCAGAATTGGCATGGTGAGCAGCACTGGTACGAGGACCACATCAACGTTGGCAAATAAGGGGGCTGTTCTCGACCTAAATCAAACAAAGGTGAACTATGGTGCTTTTGGGGTGGAGGCCATTGCTATTAGGGTGGAGGCCGTTGCTATTAGGGTAGCAGGCTGGAGGCCATTGCTGGTGAAGCTAAAGACCGAAGTCCACACAGGGACTGCACAGAGGCCCAGCATTTCGCCAGGATCAGCCTAGGCGGCCTGGCCGAGGTCATCGAAGGTGACATCCAGGGCAGGGCACTTTTTTTTGGGGGGGTGGATGAATATGCAATGACCTATTGCACTTGGCCACACCATCAACAAGATCATTTGATGGGTTTTGAGGGCATCATGTGTGTGTGTGTGTAGATTTTCTCCAAGCGGTCTTGAGCAAATGAAGTCCTTTGACCGTAATCAATACTTGAGCAAAGCAGTTTCACATGTTTTGCAACTTCCTATTTCCACCATATCGGCACAAACATGGTGAATAGGGCCCTTCCGTGTGCGCAGGAAAAACGGTCCAGGTGACCGCAGGAAACGTCAAGAATTCGCGCGCTTTACGTTTGAGGAGTTCGTTGCTATCTCAATACCACAATCAGCTGTAAATCAGGGTTGAGCTCCTGATTCCACTTGGAATTACCTCAGGACGCTACTAGGGGCTCCTGGCATCGCTACTAGGAGCAAGGACGCTACTAGGGCGCTTGGCACCCTCAGCTCCAAAAACCTCAGGACAACTGATGCAACTGCGACTGGCGCCACCACCAGTGTGGGGCTCTACTTCGGCACCTTTGATCCCATCCACGAGAACCATGTGAACCTGGCTCGCTGGGCGTGTCTTGTCAGACCCAGACCTGCTTAGGTTTGGATCCGCGAAAGTTTCATGGGCAAGGCGTTCACACAGACGTAACATATTATAGATGCAATCTGATGCAATACCACTCCATCTTGCGAGCGCAGCAGCCAGTTGCGTACTAGAAGCAAAGAATGTTTCTTTTTCTTCTCAGCCGTAGGCCCGCAGGCAAGCCTACAGACTGTTGAGAGGTGAAGCATGGGGGACAGTTGTTGTTCCAGGTGGCATCCTGGCCCCTTTTCTGGTGATGTTCCTTGAACATGTCTCATGCAAATTGGAAGTTTCACAGGAATCCACACCCAATTTTGCCCTCACTGGTTGGACAGTGTTTTGTTTCAAATGTGAACCATGCAGCGCCAGGGTTGATTCATTGGCTCAGCGGAGTTCCTTTTGTTTTAGTCTGGGCGTTGAAACAGTTTCAAAACATATCGCACACCGTCATTGATAGCTGTTCACTTCGCAAACAATGTGTTAGGTTGGTGCGCCGGATTGGAAGCTGTCGTTTGTTCCCAGGTGTGACCATGGTTTTGTGGAGCGAGTCTACTTCGTGGTAAATGGCAGCCCGTTTGCATGAAAGACTCGGTAGAAACTCACTGTGATTTGAAGGGCCGAGACGCAGAGGAGAATCTGTTTTATGCATACGTGTGGGCCCTGTTTGGACGATGACACAGGGATCAGGGATCGTTGATCACTGTGTGAGTTTGGGCAATGCGGCCAACCCCATCCTTACGGCTTGCGTTGCTTATACGGGGGCCGGCGCCGTACGGTACAGTGGCCTAGTGGCCTTATGGAATAGAATAGAAACAAGCATCAGTGCAACACTCATGTTCACCTTGTTGACTGTTGGCTGCAGGCTGACCATCAGCAGCATGCATGTTCCTCAAAAAACAGTCCTGCTTTAGAGGGGTGACAGCTGAGTGGGCAGCTATGCGCAGAAGAAGATTCCTTTCTTTCTAATCTCATTTTTTGTGCTGCTTGGCTGCTTGAGGTGACAATCCGCTGAAGCTTCTCGCGGGAGCCCCAAACATGTTGGCAAATCAAGATGAATCAAGTCTGTTTAGAAGACACGGGCAGACCAAGCCACGATGCTGCTGGGCGCAAGGCACCTCGCATGCTGGCGAAATCAAATGCCGCACCAAGTTCCCGACCACTTTAGGTTTCACTGGCTTTGGTGCTGCCATGACAATGTTGAGACATATAGTCAATAATCAAGTTGTTGTTTGTTCAAGTTCATCCTGAGAAGCAGCTGGACGGGTGATGTACTATCAACTCTATTGTTCTTTGCTCCAGTTAAGGCCGTTTTGGTTGAAGGAAAGTGCCTCAAGACTTGGCTTCTTTGACTTCGCACTCTTGCAATGGCACACATCTCCTCTATGCGTCGACCCGCCTTGCTTCCGGCGGCCGTCGCGTTGTGCAGCTTGCTGGCCGTGGGCCGGCTGGCACTGTCCGCACTGGCCTTCACCACACCGGTGCAGCCAGTGCAGCCAGTTCTCCGGTCTCGATCCTTGGTGGCTCGAGCGGCCTCCATGCGCGACAGCGAGGGGAACAAGGTCCGGGAGCCCAAGACCTTCGATGCCTCCGATGCCTCCAGCATCACCGGCTCCGTGACCGTGGAGTACAAGAAGCGCCCCTTCGGAGTTTTGGCGTATGCACCCAGCACCTCGGGAAAAGGTGCCATGATTTGGAAGATGAATGAAGGCTCCAGGTACCCTGGCGATCCCCAGGGCCAGGCCTTCGTGGGAGGTGCCAAGCAGTTCATGGCAGTGAAGAAGGTGGCCGGAGTTGATGTGAGCACCTGGGATTTTTGGGATATCATGGACCTTCTGGATGACAAGATCTTGGACAATTCCGCGGGCATTTTCCAGTCCAGTGGAAGCTTTTTCCTATGCTGTCCTAAGGTTTTTAAAAGTATATTTATATAGATTCGTTGGATTGTTTTTGCAATGCGTTTTTTGCTCACGATCATCTACAATCCCGTCACCCAAGGCGGAAAGAAGACTAATTACCAACCAGAGCCATTCCTGGATTTGTGTTTGTTAACAATTCTTATTTCTCAAAGTGGCGAGTTGCACTTGAGAAAAAGGAAGCGGATCCATGGGAAACAAGCCTGCTGAGCTTCCAGTCTCCATCGAGTACGCTGCGCTGAAAGATGTGGCTGCTGGAGCTCCAGTCCCTTCCCATGGAGAGACCAGCCCAGGAATCGACCGCTCAGATGATCGATTCAAGGATTTGCCTCGGGATGCTACCATCAAGGAGTAACCTTGAAATGCCTTGAAAGACCCGGTATTTTGGTGTTGTTTGTTGATTCATCCACATGTTACATATTGTTGTGTTTGTCAAAGCAAGTTTAGTGTACGAAACTTCCGTGTTACGGACATTCAAGAACTGTTCATACACCACTCATCAATACACTACTCATCATACACCACTCATCAATACATCACTCATCATACACCACTCATCATACACCACTCAACATACACCACTCATCACACACCACTCAACATACACCACTCATCAATAATTACACCACTCATCATACACCACTCATCATACACCACTGACCATACACCACTCATCAATACACCACTCATCATACACCACTCATCATACACCACTCATGATACACCACTCATCATACACCACTCATCATGCACCACTCATCAATACACCACTCATCAATACACCACTCATCAATACACCACTCATCATACACCACTCATCATACACCACTCATCATACACCACTCATCATACACCACTCATCATACACCACTCAACATACACCACTCAACATACACTCATCATCCAGTTGGCTCTAGTTTCAAGAGCTCCAGCTCCAGTTAGCTCTAGTTGCAAGAGCTCTAGCTGCAGGTAGCTCTAGTTTCAATAGCTCTAGCTCCAGGTAGCTCTAGTTTCAAGAGCTCTAGCTCCAGTTCTTAGCTCTAGCTTCAATAGCTCTAGCTCCAGTTTACGTGGCAGGCACAGCACTTTGTGAAGCTCGAGGCGCAGATTCCCAGTGCAGATTTCGTGGCAGGCGCCATACAAAATGCGTTCTCGAGAGATAGCGGACGCACGAAATGCTGTGTTTTTCAATAGAAGGGGTGGCTCCGAAGCTGGCAAGTCAAGCTTTGCAGAACGCTGTGTGCGAGACGGTCTCGGATCATGGTCGGATCATTCTCGGAATCGCCCTTCCATTGTGATTAGAGTTTTCACTTGTTTCTTGACGCGCAGATGTTGTGGCAGGCACAGCACTTTTTGTGAACCTCCATGTGCAGATTACGTGGCAGGCACAGCACAAAGTGAACCTCCATGTGCAGAATTCGTGGCAGGCACAGCACTTTGTGAACCTCCATGTGCAGATTACGTGGCAGGCGCAGCACTTTGTGAAGCTTGCGGTGCAGATTTCGTGACAGGCACAGCACTTTGTCAACCTCCAGGTGCAGATTTCGTGGCAGGCGCAATACAAATTCCGTTCTCGAGGCATAGCGGACGCACGAAATGCTGTGTTTTTCAATAGAAGGGGTGGCTCCGAAGCTGGCAAGTCACAAGTCAAGCTTTGCGGAACGCTGTGTGCGAGACGGTCTCGGATCATGGTCGGATCATTCTCGGAGTCGTCCCTCCATTGTGATTAGAGTTTTCACTTGATTCTTGACGCGCAGATGTTGTGGCAGGCACAGCACATTGTGAACCTCCATGTGCAGATTACGTGGCAGGCACAGCGCTTTGTGAACCTCCATGTGCAGATTACGTGGCAGGCGCAGCACTTTGTGAACCTCCATGTGCAGATTTCGTAGCAGGCACAGCACTTTGTGAACCTCCATGTGCAGAGTTCGTGGCAGGCACAGCACTTTGTGAACCTCGATGTGCAGATTTCGTAGCAGGCGCATTACTTTGTGAACCTCCATGTGCAGATTTCGTGGCAGGCACAGCACTTTGTGAACCTCCTCCGCGGAACGACGGTTGCGAGACATGGTTGGATCATGCTCGGATCATGCTCGGAATCGTCCCTCCATTGTGATTAGAGGTTTCAGTTGTTTCTTGAAGTGGAGATTTCGTGGCAGGCACAGCACTCTGTGAACCTCCATGTGGAGATTTCGTGGCAGGCGCAGTACTTTGTGAACCTCCATGTGCAGATTTCGTGGCAGGCACAGC